AACTTTGATACGACGAAAAGGTTGATAAACAACCCTCTATCAGTTATCGCAAAGATGGGCTTAGCTTCGTTCGTCAGGGCTGAGGTTTATTCTTGCAGAAGTCTCAACTTAACACTCGAGAATACTGACCGGGTTTTTCCAATGTGATATATATACTCCCTGCATGAAAAATTAAGATAAAGATGGATACATAAATATTTGATTAATTTACTTATACTCTAGTGTGACTTTTTTAATATGTATGTTAATGTTTCCACTTTAAACCGGTCATAACCCAGAGTAATTAGAAAAAAACCAAAGGCCAGCCCCGGGTCATCAAAGCCTAATGGCCAAAAAAAAGGATGGCCTAGATTGAGTTAATATATAAGCAGTCCTAATTGAATTGATGAAAGGTAACCTTGTACAATTCAGGTAACGAAACCACTATGTTAATCTCAGTAATCTGGGTTATTATGGTTAAATGATCCAAGGAAAAGCATATCTGTGATTGCACGTCTATTTTGGTTGATGAGCTCGACACACCTGTTGAGCAAGTGTGAATTCGGGTAGAACCATCATTCAGCTGCCAAATTTATTCGTCTGTATTTAGATGGCGATTCAATACCCCTCTCTCTTTTAATCATTCAATCAAGCATAAACAATTCTTATTTAATTTTCTATCAGCATTCCTCAAAATATATGTATTTCCTAATCTATTATTATTTTCGATAGCCCCTCTTATCTTGCCTAAAGAGCCCAGTAAATAAGTATTCTACAGAGACAAATATTTCAATCGTCTGAACTCTTCGATCAGGTGAATACTATCAACGAAACATTTTTTTTCATTTTGTATGATAGCGGACTGGTCTTTCGTCCATTATATGATGGGCATCCTAAGATATGGAATTCATTCTTGTAAAAGTCTTAAATCGATACTATGTTAAAAAGAAGTGTTAACCTAAGTCTTTTACATGAATGAGTTCCAGTTCTGGCGATATTTGCCATATGACAAACGTCAGCTCAGCCCGTCTTTTTCCGAGGCGATGAATACTGTCTTGTGGACGACATAAGCCTGAAACTCGTATTAAGACCAACAACTGCAGTATAACGGAAATTAATAATATTCCTCTGGTAAGATAGACCTACGAATCTCTTTATCATGCACTTTCATATGGAATAAAAGTGTTTACGATAATCATATATCAGTAGATTCTCAGAAACATCCTTTTTCTTCATATACGTATGTAAAGATCAGTAGGTTTTGATACATAAGGTATCCCCATTAAAGGCAATCAAATCATTTAAGTAGTTAGTCAATAAAAGCATTACGTTAATTACTCAGGTTGTTGCTATGACGAATCTTTGGTAAAATATAAAAATCAATAATTATTATAATGAGCTCGCTTATACAAGTTTCTGTAAAAAGGCATGAATTCTGTCACATAGATGATCATTGTGCCATATATCCTCTGTATTAATCAGAAAGCAAAAAATCATGCTTCCTTCAATCTTTTTGATCAGCATAATTATTACAAACTAGCAAAAAGCTTAGTGGGTAACTAAACAAGACTCATAGAAAAATGGCATATTAAGCACTATATATTTCACTATACTTTATTTTAATTTCAATAATAGAATTTGTTTATTACATCTAATTTTACATAATCTTCCTCCCTCTGGGTAAATGTTTCTCCCGCGTGTTTCCCCTCGCCTAGTCTTCCTCCCTCGATTTACGTCCCCCAGCTCCCGTCAGAATGGACTTTTCATGTTTTCAACAGTCAAAAACAAATGTATTTATATATTAATTAATACATATGATAGATTTGTTCTTCACTGATAAACATGAATGGATCAAATTGCAGCAAAACATCGGTATTGTTGGCATATCAGATTACGCCCAAAATAAATTGGGTGATATAGTCTATGTTCAACTTCCGCGTGTTGGTGATGAGCTACTTCAGCATGGTTAGGTTGTTGAAATGCATTTCCGCTTAGGTGAGTTTGGTGCCGTTGAATCTGTGAAGGCGGCCAGTGAGCTCTATTCACCAGCCTCGGGGAAAGTCATAGAAGTCAACGATCTGGTAGAATCTAATGCTGCGCTTATAAACAAATCAGCTCAAGAAGAAGGTAAGCTAGGTGTTTTGATTTTTGGAATGAAATTAAATGGCATTCTTTCATTGTTAGCTCATTATATATCTAGTGGAAAAGCTTTATCTCATGGTTCGTACTGTTTCTAAATTTGTAGTCTCTCGTTTCCTGTCGTTTATACACTATTTAGAGGCTTGCTTTAGGCATATCTCTCATGTAATATTCACGTGAGATCAGATTTCGCTGGCCATTAATTGCTACGCATAACAATCCGCAGCAATACTCTTCTTTGTAAACAAATTTGATTGATCATTGCCTACTTATTGGCCTGCTTCTTAACATTATCCTATAACCTTAAAGTGTTTTATACTTCTTTCTCTTTAACTTCATTTTTTGCGTGAAAATGAATCTAGTTCATTTTCATGATTTACCTAGTACTAAGTCGCTCCAGTCTAAAGCGTGATGGCAACCAAAATAACTGCCCTGGGATTTTCTTCTAGATTCTCTGCGTATTACCTTATTCCTTTGCTGCTTAACATTTTTATCCTTACAAACCAGTATAATCGACTTATTGGCCGTCTGTTCTGATTAATTGTTCCCTTACACCTAAGTATGCGGCCTGATGATTTTTATGGAGAGCGTTTTCAATAATTTCCATTTGCAACTGATATAAGATAAAAATCGGTTCCAAAGAATTCCCTAGTGTTATATTGTGACATGATTTTCCATTTCGAAGGGAAAGTTGGTTAAAAAGGGTACTCGTGATGTGGTCGCACCAGAAACCGAGGGAGCGCTGCCGCTTATGGAAGATTGTTGAATTATTCGGAGAATTCCTCGACTCACCTTTCTACAAAACCAATTAAACTGCACTAAGCTTGCGTCTATTCTGTGGCAGACATCATGAGAGCACGAATTCAGTCTACGGTGCAGTTATTTTCTTACACAAATAAACTAATGCACGATCCTCTAATGTTGAATCATGTTTGAGCTTCTGCTATTGACTATTGTGTGTATTTAATGTTAATGTTATGGATATTGTGATAGTCATAGCTAGATTTGAGGTTAATCCAGCCTCTTGTTCCGTTGCTCTCCCTGCACTCCCCTTAAGCCTATCCAACATCCATAAATGGTCCCTACTCAGCTTTCTACACTCGTTCCTTCCACTCAGAGCGTTGGCTGTTTTACTAGTTTATATAGACCCCTTATTACTATGCCTTGATATTAAGTCATTATAATCCGCAAAACGCTGTGTTTCGAACCAGCTTATTGAGTGTAATCGTCCATATAACGAACTAATAATTTGGGAACTATGAGTGTCTCTTTAAACACATTAACTTCTAATTGGGCCATGTAGTTATTAGCTCAGATACGTACTGAGATGGGATAAACAATTGGACTGTCATATTCTCCCAGCATTTTATCTTGTTTAATGATGAATACGGATTAATGAATTCTAGAAGTGGGTTGATCTCGTTTTCGCAACTTGATTTTGTTGTCAGGGGGACTTAGTGGAACGTTCATAGTTAAAAGTTGTCTGCCATAGTAGTTGTCATGATTTTCAGCATCAAACAGTGGACTTGGTACATTCTCAAACGTTTCACTGGCATCATCAGTGAGTTTTGCCATTCGCCGCACCAAGCTACGAACTCGTCAAAGTGACTTCATTTGTCTTTACTATGGCAATGAGATGTATTCACCCTATTTCGTGTAAGGTGATGAAGGACTGGTAGTAGAATTTTCCCACATTGATA